CAAGAATATCTTCTCATCCTTATACCCATTTTTTCTAGGCTACTTTTTCAGACCCCATTAAAGCACCAGAGTCCAGACTGCAGATCAGTTACGGCAAAAGGAAAAAGAAAGAAAAAGAATGAGACGATCTAGAAAGAATGAACAATAAAAATTAACCAAAAAAACACTATATTCAAATTTATACCTGTTTGGTTGGTTTCCAAATACATAACAAGGTATTAAAGATGACAAAAACATACCTCCTCAAGTAAAAATTAAAGATTGCCTGTTTTGTTTACATTTTTTAATTAGTTATATCGCCCGCAAAATATTTTCATCACAATGTTGGGAAAAAGAATTTTAATAAATTTAATCATAATATGTCAGTACACATCAAACTTTAAGGGGTGTTTAAGTCATATTTTTTTGCCACATACTTTTAAAAATCCTGCCATAAGTATATCTTCGAAGGCCCCTGACAATACTGCAAAAAGTGCTTTCTTAACTTCTTTTCCTCTTGAGGAGTGTTTGGATGAAACCAAACCATGGTTTAGAGAATAGCTTCTGGGACATAGATTCTTGGGAGAATAGATTTTGTAAAAAAGTGATTCTGATAAAATGAGAGTGTTTGTATAGTTGTTATCAGAAGCACTGTTTATATGTGCAAATTACTAAAAAAGGCATAAGTTAATATGATAACTACATAAAAGATAGATTTTATAATATGTTTTAATTTGAAGGAATAAAATTATTAATAATATATTTTTTACCAACATAATTAATAATATATAAGATAATGTAATTAATAAGTAATTAATATGTGTATATATTTATAAAATATAAGATTGAATATGTTTATAAAAAAATAATTGAGGAATGTTAAAGTCATATTATCATTGAGATCTACTCTGATAAGCACAATCATACTCTCCAATTTGAGCCAGAAGCAGAATGGATTCACTTCTTTTGAAACCATGGTTTTGAGTCCAAAACCGAGGTTTGTTAATTTCTCCCCCTATTTGGCAAATTTGGGACCCAAACCTTTGGATCCCAAAACTGTGGTTTCATCATATTGCCAAACAGGTTAGTAAATATTTCACCGACAGATTGATTATGTAGTGAATGAATCATATAACTTCAACATTATGCAACTCTTCTCGGCTTTTAGACATAACAATTTTGCACAGCTAGCATTGCTTTTAAATTCTTTTCATGTTAATTCTGTGATATGTTTTGCTTCCTTTCAAAACTATTGTACATGCATTATTTCCTTTTTTTTTTTTAATTAGACAATCAATATGCACCATCAATATATATATATAGTATTTATATATAGTGGTATTATTTAGGTGTATTATTGACGTCAACTAAGTGGTATTTTAATTTTAAACCAAGATGATACTACTAAAATAAAATATTCATATAGGAGGAGATAATTAGAGGCAACTTCTGATGAAATGGAGAGTAAGACTGAGGTATGCACCAATCAAATTTAGATTTTGGATATATATGTTTGTGGAGGGATAATGTATCCACGAAAGCTTCTCACTATCGTTCTTTTGGGGTATTTTCTCTTATGAGACAAATGCAATGAAAATGAAATTACATTTTGTACAGCAACAAGGCTTGTTCCCATCACTAATGTATATTTTGATTACTTTGTAGTCTATATAATACTGTGATAATGAAAATATGGTCTTTGCTATGATAATGAACCACTTGTAGGGTTAAAACTTCTCATTACTAACTCAGTTTTCTTTCTCTTTCGTTCCATTTGGGACAACTTAATGCTTAAAAAGCCTATGCTTTGAGCTAGATCCATGGATGAGTGAGTCCTTTTCATTAAAAAAAAAATTAACTTCATAAATATTTAGTTATTGAGCTTGTGGAAATATTGTTCTTGTTATGAATATAATAATATCTTTATGGATGTCCATATATCTCCCATTATCTCCTAATATCTCTTATAATCTCCAACATCTCCTATTATCTCTATATCCCACAATTATCTTATATTATTATGTAATCTGTAGATTCTATCAAAGATGTAAAGCTATGTCTATAAATAAAGGCCATGTATCATGTATTTAGCAACCCTTGAATGGAATGAAAAAGATTCTCTCTTGTTGGTCCTCTCTTCTTCTTTTTTATTCTTCTCTATTTCTTCTTTATTTATAATACGTTATCAACACAAAACTCTAACCAACATATGTATGACATACCTTTGATTCTTATTAGCATGACTTTAGAGTATCATCTCTATGATTTTTTTCCCAAAGTATCGTTTGCTTTATTCAAATGAAAATATCTTGAACATTGTATGTATGATATTTCAAAGTATCCATATCTATAATTGATTTTCTAGGATAATCTTAGCCATTGTATGGATAAGTCAATCCATTATGTGTTTCAATAGTTGCGAGATCTTTATATATGGATTAAAGATTGATTTAGACCTCGAGAAGGTGATGAATAAACATTTGGTCTAGAAGGGTCATATCTTATTGTCACTGAAGCACTTATATATCTATTTAGCCACACAAAACCTGATATATCATTTGCTAATTAGCATGATATAATTTTTTATTAACATGAAGATGTTGGAATGAAGTTAAAAACATTTTTTGTTACTTTAAGGGTGTGGAGGTAATATTATTTTATCTGAAGGTACCCAAGACTAATTTTACTGGCTATTAGGTAGAGTATTCTTGTTTGATCCTCATGTTAAGATATCACAATATGACCCATATGTGGGTAAACCATAAAAAGACTATTTGTCTCATGATTTTCAGAAGATTATGGAATTAATATTTGACATTTTTATCTCACAACAATATTTGGAAGGCTTGTTTGTTATATTAGACTTTACAGGCTCGAAGATGTCATCTAATATTGCCAAGAGGGGGAGTTGATACATGTTGTACTCTTTTTTCCTTGTCTATGGTTTTGTCCCACTGGATTTTCCTAGCAAGATTTTTAAAGAGGCAGCATTGCATAGTGTATCACTCTTTTTCTTCTGCTAAGTTTTTGTCCCAAAGGGCTTTTCTTAATTGAAATTTTTTAATGAGGCACATTCATATATACTAGACATCCAAGGGGAGTGTTATGAATATAATAATATCTTTGTAGATGTCCATATATCTCCCATTTTCTCCTAATATCTCCCATTATCTCTATATCCCACAATTATCTTTTATTATTATGTAATTTGTAGATTCTATTAAAAATGTAAAGCTATGCCTATAAATAAAAGTCATGTATCATGTATTTAGCAGCCTTTGAATGGAATGAGAAATATTCTGTCTCGTTGATCCTCTCTTCTTCTTTATTATTCTTCTCTATTTCTTTTTTATTTATAACAGTTTTATTTATTTTGGGATTTTTTTAAAAAAAATCCACATAATATATTCATATATTTATTTGTGGCTTGCCTAAATTATCATAATTCATGACTCCATAAAATTTATATATCAAAGTATCAATAAATTCAATTTAATTACATATTCATCTATTAATAATATTAAAAAAAACCTTTAGAATATTCAAAATTCAGAGGGAGGGAGGTGGGGGGAAGACTCCTCAACGTTTAAAGACTTCGGCTATATTCATAAATGCACAAAGTATCAAAGACAAAAAGTCATATTTATGTGCTGGCCAAATAAAACCTGTGACATCTATGATTTGTATTGTTAAACTAAATTTTAAATTTTTGAAAGTTAAACACTAATTTCAAAATGAAAAAAAAAAACTCAAGTCCCCACACTAATAATTAATCTTCTATTTATGTGCGTGCCTTGACTTGGCAAAGTACGGAGAGAGAGGGAGTGCGATGAAAAGAGGAATCAACATTTTTGTCTGTCTAATTATTGAAAGATAGAGAGGATTTCTTTTGGTTTACTGAGAAAAATAAAATTGTTGGCTTTATATATTTATAGAGTAACTAAATAAATTCTTAACCAATTAGGCGTCGATGTAGAGGTCAATGATTCAAATTTTCCGAGTGTATCCCAATATACATAAAGTTGTATTATTCACGTGCATTTTCAAGTGTTATTTTTCTTTGGACCAAGATGATATCAACAAAATATAATATCCATACAAGAGGAGATATTTAGAAGTAGTTTCTTATGAAATGGAGTGTGATGTGTTTGAAGCGTATGTTTCTTCTTACCGACATTCTTTTGAAACTCTCTCATATTAGACCAAATCAATGAAAATAAAAATGTGGTCTTCCATATGATACCAGACTACTTGTAGGTTAAAATTTATCCTCATCAGTAATTTCATTTTCTTTCTTTTTCATTTTTTTTGGATGACCTAATGTTTGAAAAGTCAACCACTAATATAAATATTTACACACACATTAGTGATTAATAATTTGTATACTAACACTTTTATTATTTGCTCTACTCGCAAATCTTTTATCAGATGATAATTTCAATATTCATATGTATTAAACTATACAGTAGTTGCCTTGAATAATTAGCTGCAAGGTTATAAAAATATGCATAAATTGATTGATTGAATTAACAGCGTGTAATGGGAAAGAGGAATAATACAAAACACAAATTTCTTTCATCAATTTAGATTTCATGCATGGGTGGTTAATTTGAAGAAAGGATTAACTGTCTCACCCAAAAATTAAAAACAATAGAAAAGAAAATGCGAAAATATTGAAGGAACAATGTGGAACGTACGCAAGCTTCTTGTCAATAACAAAAGTGTGGTCCCAGAAATGAAATTGTTCAACACGCAATGAAATTAAAAGGCAAAGTTTCTCCTTATTTCATAGCCTGCCACACGCCACCACAAGCAAAATAATTAATTTTTAGTTGAATTTCTTCTAACCTTACCACAAAAGGTGTCCTTTTCCAACTACGCATTTCGTTTGATTTGATTTGGAATCAAAGAAGTATAAAATGACGTGTATGTTAATTCCTGGATGCAGAATACTTGAGATTTTGATAAGTCTGATATGCTACACATAATGGGAAGACCTTCTTCCTTTGTTTTCCTCTTCTTACTCTTTTCCTTCATGGCCTCCTTAGCTTGGAGTGATACAAATATCACTACCGACAAATCTGCACTTCTTGCTTTTAAATCATTCATCACTTTAGATCCACACAATTTCTTAGCTAATTGGTCTATCTCTTCTTCTCCATGCAGCTGGATTGGTGTCACATGCAATACTCGTCATGGAAGAGTCCACTCCTTGAATCTTGGTGGCATAGATCTTAAGGGTACCATATCTCCACAACTAGGAAATCTCTCATTCCTTGTTGAATTTGACCTTAGTGACAACGATTTTCATGGTCAAATACCAAACGAGCTAGTTAAATTGCATAGATTGGAACTACTCAATTTGAGCTACAATGACTTTCATGGACAAGTTCCAGTATGGATAGAAGATTTATCTTCACTTGAGCAATTACATCTTCAAAATAACAGTCTTAGTGGATTTATTCCACCATCTATATTTAATCTGACACTGCTAAACACCTTGGATTGTAATGATAATTTACTTGAAGGGACCATTCCACTCGAAGTGGGAAGACTTGAGCGATTGAAGATTTTACGTCTTGCGGGTAACAAGCTTTCAGGAAACATTCCCCAAACAATTTCCAACTTATCTTCCCTTGAGTTATTGAGTTTGTCTTATAACAGTTTGTCAGGTATGTTTTTGATTATTCCTAATATTTATATTTGTTTTTGTTTTAAACTAGTGTATTTGGTTAACTTAATCTTATCCTAGTTCTCTTGATTGTTTTTATTTTTTAATTTTTCTGTTATTTTTATGAATTTTTTTTAATTTTTGCCAATATTTTCTATTATTTTTCAAAGGGAAAAAATCATTCATTATCAGAGAATTGAAACGGTTTATACAGTCACACCGCAAGTGTAATAACATATCTAATATTAGGCTTGTCATAAGTTTTTGAAAATGTGTTTATTATTCTGCCATTAAAAATTTTTAAAGGGTTTTTTTCAAGTTGAGTAAACCTTAGAACAAAATATTTGGAACATTTAATTTTGAATCGGATAATCTAAATTTTATTTTTATTTTATTATTTATTAATAATTGTTGTTGTTTAAAAAAGTTTTTAGAGTTGATAGAAATAATTTATCTGGGAGTCTCCCAAAAAACGTGTTTTAATAGGAATGATGAAAAGGAAGGACCGATCGGGTTTCAATATATTTCTTAATGTTAATCAATGAGTCCATCCAATGGGTTTAAGCAATGGCTATTGGCCCAGATGAAGAAAGAGGGTTATACTTTTAAAATAATAATTGTAGTTGTGGTTTATCATTTAGAATATATTTTTGTCATTTTTCAAAAAATATGCAAGTCTTACTGTATTTTAATATATATATATATATGTAGTCTCATGTACATAATAACTTGTCACACGTAAAAAAAAACTGTATATTGAAATCAGCTCAGTGATTTAATTATATGGTTGCATTAAATTATATTCCAATATTTGATAAGATATTGCTGAATAATGAGTTTGCTAAATTACTTTTAAAGACATGGAATATGATGCTTTTTTTCAATCACAAAGTGAATATGAATAAAATTAAAATGGTATACTTTTCAAAATCTATGAGTACCATATGTGCGGATGCGTCTAATACTGTGCTTTCTTTTTTTAACTCTTTGGAATAGAAATAAATTTGAACTCTGATTTGCTTCCCATCCTTTAGTTCATATCATAAGTTTCACGCACGTGTAAATGTGAGATCATAAGTTGCTTAAAAAATCTCTAAAAAAATATTGGATCTAAAAAACAAGGAAAATAACGTGACAAGGATGATGACAAATTTTCTTAGCTTATTGGTCTTTACCAGTTTGTTAAATATGTTTTAGAGAAATCCGGCTTGTCTAGATTGTTTTTTAAAATTATTTTTTGAATATTTTTGTGCATTTCTTTTTTTCAGCATTTTTCTATTCTGTTTTAAATAAAAAAAATTGTCAACCAATTTTTAAAATGGATAGTGAAGTCATAAACCATGGGCAAAAGAATATTGTTATAAACTTGCAATATCAGTCCAAACGGATCTAAAGACTCATAATCAATCTTCGAAAATAAATGTTTATTATTTCGTTATTACAAATTTTCTGAAGTTTTTTTTTTCAAAAATGAGTAAGCCTAGCAAAAAGCATATTCGGAACATTTAATTTTTATTTAAACAATCTAAATTGTATAGTAATTTTATTTTTAAAAAATTGTGTAGTTAACAAAAATATTTTTTCTAGGAGTCTCATGATGGAAAGTATGGGCCAATTGAATTTTGATATGTGTCTTAGTTTTTTTCCTTAATCACAGTTAATCGAAGAAACTCATAATCTTATCTTTGCAGTTTGGTGAATACAACTTATATGGCATATAGGAATTTATCAGAATTAATGTGTAATGGGCCTTGTGGAATAATTTATATATATATATATATATATCTCATTCAAGGATGGCGGCTCTTTTAAAATGATTAAGATGATGATTCAATGCTCTGAAAATGATTTTAGATAAATAATCTTAGCAGTATTAACAAAATAGCTCAACCTCCATACTTAGGGTCACAACACGACATTAAAACTTTCATTGATGATATCTTATCTCTTTATTGGGTCTTTAGTAATTAGCTGTTTATACATATTTAGGGATATTTTAAAATCCAACTAATTTTTTTCCTTATAATTCTGCAATGCGAAACATGGAAAGAAAAATGTAGCGTTTGTTTTTCTCTTGTTAATTGGGCAGAGACGAACATTATTCTATTGATAAATCTGTATTTTTTACTCTTAAATCTTCTATTACTTTGGATCCATATAATTCCTTAACTCATCTATCTTTTAACAGTTTGTTAGGTATTTTTAGAGAAATTCGGGCTTGTCTCAATTGTTTTTTTTTTAATTTTTTAATATTCTTATGCAGTTCTTTTTTTTCAGAATTTTTCTATTCTTTTTTTAATTAAAAGTTCGTCATCCAATTTTTAAAATGGTTGGGGAAAAGAATATTAGTCCAAAAGGATCTAAAGGCTCATCATCAATATTTGAAAATAAATGTAGTCATTAAAAAGTTTCTGAAGGATTTATTTTTTCAAAATAAGTCTGTCTTAGAAGAAATATACTCGGAACATTTAATTTTGTTTTGGATAATCTAAATGAATAATTTTATTTTTTAAAAAATTGTGTAGTTTGCAAGAACTATTTTTCTGGGAGTCTCATGATGAAGAACAAGGGTCACTGGGATTTCAATGTGTCTCTTAATTTGTTTTCTTAATTTTTATTGGAGGAACTTAATATGAATTAATGAATCCATAAAATCTGAAAAGATAACAAAATAAAAAGAAGTAGAAAACACAGTGTAATGGGTCTTGGGGAATAGCCCATTATGTTTTCTGGCATTAAGCCATCCAAATTTCTCAACAAATCACATGTCGAAATTATTTGGTCTGTGGTCAATGGCCCAGCCAAATAGAAAGGGTTATTCTTTTTTATAAATAATAATTGTGGTTGTGTTTTATCATTCAGAATTAATTTGTGTTATTTCTCAAAAATGTGCTAGTCTTACTATATGTGTTTTTAAAAAATACAAATTATCTAATGTGCATAATAACTTATTATAAATAAAAATTGTTACTGATATTATTCTCTTCGTTTCCCTTCTAATATTTGAAGGAAGCATCCCAAGTGAGATTGAGAATCTTTCACAATTGAAGAAATTGTATCTTGGAAATAATCAACTTGTTGGTTCAATACCATCTTCATTATTCAACAATTCAGTGCTGCAAGACTTTCAACTTTCAGTAAATAACTTGTCTAGGAGTCTCCCAACAAATGTGTGTGCTGGGCTCCCAAAGCTACAAATATTTTATGTAGATGGAAATGATTTGTCTGGCAAAATACCCTCCACTTGGCATCAATGCACAGAATTATTAGAATTATAATTGGGAGATAACAAATTCAACAGAGGAAACATACCAATTGATATTGGAAATTTGACCAAACTTCAGTGGCTATATCTCTCCAACAGCAACTTGCAAGGTAAGAGTTTTAATTATTATATGATTGTCTTAAATTTTGGTAAGTCACGAATTTGCGTCACAAATTTAATGAATAATACTTTTATTAGATTACTTCTAAAGACATGGAACTTGACTCTTTCTCTTCATCCCAAAATGAAATACTGAATCATTGAAAAATAAACTAACCAGCATTTGTGCCAGTCACATTCCTTCTGTTCTTATTTTTCACTTTCTCCTGCGTTTTCTTGTCTGTGTCAATCACATATGTTCTTATGACATGTAAAGGGAATATATCTTAAATAAAATTAGAAAAATATTATCTAATAATAATATAGAATGATAAAACATTATAAATAGTATAAGAGCGGAATCTTATATGTAATCTTATATGTAATATGCTTGTTCTTTAATGTTTGCAAAATGTTTTAGCTGAAATTGCTTTAAGAGTGATGAAGATTCTAGTATACATGATATGTTTTACACAATCCATTTTTCTTAACTAATTTGTATCAGGAAAAAGTTATGTTGTTCTACACAGGGTTTAGAAAACTTAAATGCAAAATATAAATAATTTGGTTGTTCGTTTTAAATAGGTGAAATTAATTCCATTATCTGCCTCTAGCATTTCTTCTTTACAAGAAATTTTAATTTCGAATTATTTGATATTAGAAAAGTCCCTTTTAAATTGCTTTCCAATAAAAACTAAATTATTTCCTAATAATTTTAAGCCTTTAATCAACACAACTCCATGCATATCCATAATGAGATTTAAATATGAATAATAATTTACAATCCCAAAATATTAAAAGATCAAATTATGAATTGATAGTAGCCTGTTATTTTGAAGGCAAGTTCTCGACTTGTTAGATTTGAGTATCACTTGAGGTTCTTTGGTTATATTTAACGCAAGTTCTCGACTTGTTTTTAGCCATGCCGGAGTTAGTAATATATGAAAATTTTTCTATGGTAGGACAAGTTTAATACTAAAAAGAGAAAAGTTTGCAGTTGTGTTTTTTCTTATTTATTAGTAGTACAATAAACATTTATTTAAATAAACTAAGTATAAAATATCAATTGTGAATAATTATAAAGAATTCAATTTAAAAAAAAAATTAAACGCAATAATAATCCAATAAACACAAGTTCAACTGTAGTTGAGCTCAAACTAGTTGAGAAAAACAGCTCATAAAAAAGATGAGCATATAACATGTTTTAAATAGTCTCACAAATAATTAAATTGTTTTATTTTAAGTCATTCATATTGAAGTGGAAGTATTCAGTACATTCAATTCTTTATAAAATTAAATAAAGCTTTTCACAAAAAAAAAAAGAAAAACTCTCCACTAATAGTTTCTTAATAATTATTTTAATTTGAAATTTAAAAGAAGTATGAAAAATCAACACGGGGAAGAAAGTAGGTGGGATTACACCAAAAAAATGTGGACTCATTAAACATTATGTGGAAACTTTTTTGTTCAGAATTTCTCACTAAAACTGCACACACACAAAAATAAAAAAATCCTTCATGCAGAGATAAATTGCTGAATACTATTCTAATGTCTTATGCCGTACATGATTAGTTGGCAATGCATAAAAATTATAGTTAAACTTAATGCACTCATTTGCAATATTAAAAGGAAAGAAATTTGATGGTTAGAGGAAATTTGCTTTCTCTCTTTTTAATATTTATGAAGTTTCTTTTTTTATTTAATGTATATTATATGCAAACAATATTACAATGCCAAAATAAAAAAAAGGTAAGGTCATGGTCATGGACTGATGGCACCACTTGATATCTAAAACATCATTTATATACTCTGATCAATAAAATGGCTCCAGGAATCATTTCTTCGTTACAATAATTTGCAAGGTTGTAGTTTTAATTATATGATTTGTCTTAGACTGTGTTGTGTGTTTTTGTTTTTGTTTTTTTCATCTCTCAAATGAAAAATAATTTTAAAATGAGATTTTCCTTTTCATTTTTTTCATTCATGCCAAAGAATCAAGAGAAGCCTACTGAAAAGTTTGCATTCGTAACAGAAATCCTTGGAAAGAGAAATAAAACATAATTTGGATTATTAAAAACAAGTGGGGAAGCCTTGCCAGAACTGGTCTGAGAAAACTTTGTAGAGTACATTTTTTATCTGTTATGCTTCTTTTCAATTTCTTATTTTTCAAATTCATTAATTTCAAATTAAACACTTATTCATTAATTACAGTATAAAAACTTTTATTTTTCAAAAGCAATACTAGTCATTTCACCTTGAGTGTAATTTATAATTTTCTTATTTTTTTTCATTTCTTGAAATACTTTTTATGACCTGTTTATTTTTATTCTTACAAGTCCTTTCAATTCAATCTTTTTCACAAGCAGTTATTGGTAATTGATTATATTTGGATGTCAAGCTCTTCATAATCAATGAGATTATTATATCTTACTTTTATTCTTTTGTTTTTTAGTCATTTTGTTTAATAGGATAAATTTAAAATGAGATTTTGTTTTCTATCATTTTATTAATATTGTATCTACATATACATAGTCATTACGGGGTTTAAATATAATAGTAATCTACAATCCCAAAATATTAAAAGATCAAATTATGAATTGATGGTAGCCTATAATTTTTCTCGTACACCATAAAATTATTTTCAAAACTTTAATCCAAATATCCCCATAACAAAAATGAAATTTTATTTTTGGTCATTTCATTCGTTTATACAAGAAAAAATGGCAAATAAAGATTCCCAATATGTGAAATTGTGATTTGAGACCCTTAATTTGGAAATGGCAAATAAAGACTCGATTTCATATTGCAAATATGAAATCTTGGTAAAATGTCTAAAATGCCCCTCAGTCAAATGACTAGTTGACTATGAAAAATGATAAGTTTACTTTAGCAAATGACAATTTTAGCAAATCAAATCACAACTTGGCTGAGAGTATGTCAAATGACAAGTTTATTTTGACGAATGACAATTTCAGTAGACCAAATCATAATTTGGCTGAGGAGCATTTCAGAAATTTCACCAAGATTTTATATTTGCAATATGAAATTGGGTCTTTATTTGCCGTTTTCCAAATTAAAGGTCCCAAATTATAATTTCACATATTAGGGGTCTTTATTTTCTATTTGCCCTTTATTAATCCCAAAATAACGGAAAGATAGGATCATGACTTTATCAACTGAGCTGATGGGCCCACTACGATAATAGAATTTCTTAAGTACTCAGCGTATAATGTGCCCGCTTGCCCACATGTAATTTTTTATTTTTCAAATTTATTAATTTCAAATTAACTGATTCTTACCAACAAAAAATTAAATAATTATCCAAGATATTAATCATGTCATCTCAGGTATAATTTATGATTTTGATAATTTTTTATTTCAAATTTTTTTAAAAGAGTTGAAATTAATGTAAAGAATAATTTTTCTTTTGTATTTTACTCTTCCGAATCGCGACTTATTTGTAGGATGGGATAAGTTTAATACTAAAAACAGAAAAGTTTGCAGGTGCGTTTTTCCTTATTTATTACAATAAACAATAAATTTATTTAAATAAAATAATTATAAAATATCAATTGTGAATAATTATAAAGTGCAATTATTCAGTACGTTCAATTGATAATAATTATCTTCAACGTAAAACTCTCCACTAATAACTTCTTAATCATTATTTTATTTTAAAATTAAAAGAAGTATGAAAAATCAACATGAGGGAGAAAGCATGGGAGATTACATAAAAAAATGTGGATTCATTAAACATTATTGTGGAACTTTTTTGTTCAGCAAAGTATACTTAATAATTTCTCACTGAAACTGCACAAAACAAATTCCTTCAAAAGAGATAAATTGCTGAAAGAGTAGTCTAATGCTTTATGCCATGCATGATTAATTAGCAATGCATAAAAGCTATATAATAAACTTAATGTACTCATTTGCAATATCAAAAGGTAAGAAATTTGATGGTTAGAGGAAATTTGCCTTTTCCCTTTTTAATATTTATGCATGGATTAATCAGTATAGCACACATGTTCAAGTTTTAGAAATTAGTACGTAAGACACGTGAAGTTTCTTTATTATTTGTGTATATTATATGCAAACAATATTACGATGCCAAAATAAAGAAAAGGTAAGATCATGCACTGATGGGACCATTTGCTATATTTAAAATGTGAAAAAACAATTTTTTTTTTTAAATTCTAGTCTTAATCTACCACGTCATTTGTATATTTTGATCAATAAAATGGCTTCATATATACTTTGTCCAGGAATCATTCCAAGTGAGATTGGAAATTTGACAAACCTCGAAATGCTTTCTCTTAGCAACAACAATTTGCAAGGTAATAGTTTTACTTATATGATTGTCTTAGATCGTGTATGTGTGTGTTTTTGTTCTTGTTTTTGTTTTTATCTCTCGAATGAAAAATAATTTTAAAATTGAGATTTTGCTTTTCATTTCTTTCATTCATGTTAAAGAATCATGAGAAGCTTACTAAAGGTTTTGCATTCATAATAGAAATCCTTGAAAAGAGAAATAAAATATAATGTTATATCATTAAAAAAATTAGAGAAGCCCTGTAAAAACCGGTCTGAGAGACTTTGTAGACTATTAGTGTGTGATGTGGTATAGCAATCTTCAGGGATACCTCCCAATTTTTGCCCCAGCAAAAATGTCTTTAAAAAGAGAAATAAAATTTAATTTTGGATCAGTAGAATAAGTATGTGTCGGCTATCAATATATTGTTTGTTTCTATTTGATGATAGGACTTGTACTTGAAAAGATTTCATAATATTTCTAATTCTCTCGTCAACATTTACATAACTCCCATCTCATCCACTTTCATATTAAAACGGGTGAAATTTCATCTTTAATTTTATGCTTTATCTCCAAAATTTGTAACTAAAAGTATTTTAATTCCTTAAAGAAAAACTAAAATTTCAGCCCTTTTTTTTGCCTATGATGAATTCATCCTCATATCTTAAAGTTAGAGCCTTTTTAAATACTTTGGATGTACATTTTACATTAGATGAGATTAATTTCATAGTCTCTGATGTTCAGCAATTTGCCATTAATATTGAAAGGGTCCCCTTTAGACTACAGTCCAACAAAAAATAAATTATTTTCTACTAATTTTAAGTATCTAATTACCAAAATTCCTTGTATTATTTATATGCTTGTGTACGGACGAATTTATTAGGAACATGCTTGCCATACTACCAAGTAATTAACAAATATTTTGTATTTATTTATAGGTGAAATTCCTTCATTTCTTTGGAACATGCCTAGCGAATGACAACTTCAGTAAACTAAATCATAATTTGGCTGAGGGGCATTTCAAAAATTTCATCAAGATTTCATATTTGCAATATGAGATCGGGTCTTTATTTGTCATTTTTCAAATTAAGGGTCCCAAATCATAATTTCACATATTGGGGGTCTTATTTGCCATTTGCCCTTTGTATAATCCCAAAATAACGGAAAGATAGGATCATAACTTCTTCAACTGAGTTGATGGGCCCACTTCAAAAACAGAATTTCTTGAGTACTCAGCGTATAATGTGCGCACTTGCCCGCATGTAATTTTTTATTTTTCAAATTTATTAATTTCAAATTAACTGATTCTTACCAACAAAAAATTAGATAATTATCCAATATATTAATCATGTCATGTAAAGTATAATTTATGATTTTGATAATTTTTTATTTTAAATTTTTTTAAAAGAGTTGAAATTAATGTAAAGAATAATTTTTCTTTTGTATTTTACTCTTCCGAATCGAAATGAGTATTACTTGAAATTCTTTTGTTATATTTAAGGCAAGTTATCGACTTATTTGTAGGAGGGGATAAGTTTAATACTAAAAACATAAAAGTTTGCAGGTGCGTTTTTCCTTATTTATTACAATAAACAAGAAATTTATTTAAATAAAATAATTATAAAATATCAATTGTGAATGATTATAAAGTGAAATTATTCAGTACGTTCAATTGATAATAATTATCTTCAAGATGAAACTCTCCACTAATAACTTCTTAATCATTATTTTATTTTAAAATTAAAAGAAGTATGAAAAATCAACATGAGGGAAAAAACATGGGAGATTACATAAAAAAAATGTCGATTCATTAAACATTATTTTGGAACTTTTTTGTTCAGCAAAGTTTACTTAATAATTTCTCGCTAAAACTGCACAAAACAAATTTCTTCATCAAAGATAAATTGCTGAAAAAGCAGTCTAATGCTTTATGCTGTGCATGATTAATTGGCAATGCATAAAAGTTATATAGTTAAACTTAATGTACTCATTTGCAATATTAGAAGGTAAGAAATTTGATGGTTAGAGGAAATTTGCCTTCTCCCTTTCTAACATTTATGCATGGATCAATAGTATAGCACACATGTTCAAGTTTTTGAAATTAGTACGTAAGACACATGAAGTTTATTTATTATTTGTGTATATTATATGCAAACAATATTACGATGCCAAAATAAAGAAAAGGTAAGATCATGCACTGATGGGACCACTTGCTATATTTAAAATGTGAAAAAACAAATTTTTTTTTAAAATTCTAGTCTTAATCTACCACGTCATTTGTATATTTTGATCAATAAAATGGCTTCATATATACTTTGTCCAGGAATTATTCCAAGTGAGATTGGAAATTTGACAAACCTCGAAATGCTTTCTCTTAGCAACAACAATTTGCAAGGTAATAGTTTTACTTATATGATTGTCTTAGATCGTGTATGTGTGTGTTTTTGTTCTTGTTTTTGTTTTTATCTCTCGAATGAAAAATAATTTTAAAATTGAGATTTTGCTTTTCATTTCTTTCATTCATGTTAAACAATCATGAGAAGCTTACTAAAGGTTTTGCATTCATAATAGAAATCCTTGAAAAGAGAAATAAAATATAATGTTAGATCATTAAAAAAAATTAGAGAAGCCCTGTAAAAACCGGTCTGAGAGACTTTGTGGACTATCAGTGTGTGATGTGGTATAGCAATCTTCAGGGATACCTCCCAATTTTTGCCCCAGCAAAAATGTCTTTAAAAAGAGAAATAAAATTTAATTTTGGATCAGTAGAATAAGTATGTGTCGGCTATCAATATATTGTTTGTTTCTATTTGATGATAGGACTTGTACTTGAAAAGATTTCATAATATTTCTAATTCTCTCATTAACATTTACATAATTCGCATCTCATCCACTTTTATATTAAAACAGGTGAAATTCCATCTTTAATTTTATGCTTTATCTCCAAAATTTGTAACTAAAAGTATTTTAATTCCTTAAAGAAAAACTAAAATTTCAGCCCTTTTTTTTTTTTTTTGCCTATAATGAATTCATCCTCAGATCTTAAAGTTAGAGCCTTTTTAAGTACTTCAATAACTATAATATAGAATATAAATAATTTGGATGTTCATTTTAGATTTGGTGAGATTAATTCCATAATCTCTGCTCTTCAGCAATTCTTCTTTGAAAGAAATTTAACATCCAATTGGTCATTAATATTAGAAGAGTCCCTTTAAACTACAGTCCAACAAAAAATAAATTATTTTCTACTAATTTTAAGTATCTAATTACCAAAATTCCTCGTATTATTTATATGCTTGTGTACGGACGAATTTATTAGGAACATGCTTGCCATACTACCAAGTAATTAACAAATATTTTGTATTTATTTATAGGTGAAATTCCTTCATTTCTTTGGAACATGCCTTCTTTGAGAATGATTTTTCTTGGCGCCAATCATTTAAAGGGTAATTTGCCTGAAGAAATGTGTCATCATCTCCCTTTAGTTGAAGTCTTTGACGTTGATGATAATAGATTAGAGGGAAGCATTCCTCAATCAATAAGCAACTGCACATCTTTAAAAGAATTATATTTGGATATTAACTCATTTACAGGTACGCACTTACTTGAGTGTTTTCTTTTCTTTTTAATATGTTTATGTAAAATGAGATTTTGTTTTTCTCGAAAATCGCAATCATGAACAAATGGATGTCTTGAAATTTGTAACAAAGAAAAACAAAATCCTCACATATACTCTTTGATGACAAAACTCCGAACCATACAATACTTTTTTATCAAGATTTTTTCTGTCTCTTAATTACTTTAATTTTATTTTTTCTCATCTTAATATTTAAATAATATTAAAATACAGATGAGTTTGGAATTGTTTTTACTTATTTATTATGTATATATGAGTTGCAACAATTCAACATTGTTTAATTGAAATTAAAATTATAGTATTTTAAAAAAATTACCACGTAGTAATTAAAAAATGTACAATAAACAAAAATTATTTAGATACGTATAAAAGATCAATTGCAAATTATACAATAAATGAAACTCATAAAATGCTTGTCCAACCAACTTTAAATGCAACATACATACTTATTATATGCCGGTCCTTTTTTCTAGGTTTTATGTGTTTCCTAACAACTTTAATTTTATATTTTTTCCCCTAGAGTACATTTTTCCATCTGTTATGCTTCTTTTTCAATTTTTTATTTTTCAAATTCGTTCATTTCAAATTAAATACTTATTCAATAATTAACAGTACAAAAAATTTTATTTTTCAAAAGAAATACTAGTGTAATTTATGATTTTCTTAATTTTTTTTTCATTTCTAAATTTTACAAAGACTTGAACAAATTAAAAAAAAAAATCTTGGTACATTTTACTCTTTTGGTTGAAATGAGCATTACTTGAAATTCTTTTTAATATATTTAACGTCAGTTTTAGAATTATTCGTAAACATACCATTTTTAATAATATTTGATAATTTCTGTATAATAGTAGTATTTGATAATTTCTTCTTTTCTATACACACACAAACACATGGTAACAACTCTATCATTTAATTAAAATTAAAATTATATCGACATTTTTCTAAAAGAATCACAGCATATGAATTAAAAATTTGAAATAAACAAAAGATTTTTTTAAATAGATATAAAAATCAATTACAAATTATAATATAGAAATCAAATAAAAATTTAAATATAACTCAAACTGATGAAGAATAATATAAGATATTTTAATTGTTCAACAAATAGAAGAACTGGTCTGCATGTTGTGAAATTAAACAAAGCTTTTCCAGCTAAAGTTTTTCACATGTTAACTTCCTGGAGGGATAAACTGCCGAATAAGTAGTTTAATGCTATAGGCAACACATGATTTATTGGCAATGCGCAAATAACTAATAGCCGAAGCCAAAGCAAACACTCAAGAAAATCCTAGCATACAACTCAACATACCAGTAGAACAACAAAACAACACTTAACAAAGAACAACAAGCAACAAGTAGTTAGACAATACCAGATAAAGAGTCACAATTAGAAAGCTCAAGATCATGCTCCAGAATATGAAATAGAAAGGGTGGTTCAGAAAAACATCCTTGTGGTACCATTCCTTTCAAAACCTCTGCTGCTAAATAATCAGTAGGTCTACCGCCCTTGTGAGAAACCAAAGACAGGGACCAATTATGCACAATCAATGAGATTTTAAAGGAATTATATTTGAATATTAACTCGTTTTACTTTTGTATGTCCTTTTTTTCAAAGATTTTATCTATCTCTTAATTACTCTAAGTAGTTAGCCAATACCAGTCCTAGAAAGCTCAAAATCATGCTGCAGAATATGAAACAAAAAGGGTGGTGGTTCAGAAAACCATCCTTTTGGTACTACTCCTTTTAAAACCTCTGCTGCTAAACAGTCAGCAGCTCTATTGCCCTTGCCAAAACCAAAGACAAAGACAACTTTGAATAGCTGCTTAGCATGACATCTTCACAGCTCAACTCGCATCCCTTGAATTCAGAAGCTCTCAATCTGTGAAACAGCTCTTGACAATCAGTGTCAACTATCACCTTCTTTTCTTCCCACCTCTCACTGCAATTTAAAGCTTCCAGGATTGCCAAGGTTTTGCAATAAGAACTGAATATGCCTTAACCTTCATTCCCAAACCACCAACAAACACACCATTCTCATCTCTTCCCAACAACCCTATAGAAGCAGCCATATCAAATAACTTGAAAGAAGCATCCAAGTTCAACTTGATTGCTCCATTCTCAGGTGCCCTCCAAATTCTCGCTCTTTCAACACCATTGCCCTCCATCTTATGTCTCCCCCTTTGTTTTTGAGCCCCATCATAATCTCTAACTAGCCTTAACACCCTTGCTACACATCTAATAGCATCCAAAAATATGCCTGCACCCAGCTTTCCAAATTTTCCAGCAGGTGGTAGCAAAAGAGTGATACTAAAATCATCATGTCCCATCTTTTGATTCATCGATTCCTCCATCCACCTGGCCACATCACACATCTTGATTTATTGAATCTTAGTGACAAAGGTAACCCAAACCAACATCTCTCAGCCCATAGACGTAAAAATAAAGCATGCTTAATTGATTCCACCTGACATCTACAAATATCAGGTAGGTGTACTAGAGTATTTTCTTCTAAAAAGAGCTTCCTTGATGGCCAAAGCTCCACTCACTACTTTCCACATAAAATGAGCTGCCTCAGGAGGGATCTTCAGCCTCCACAATTGATTCCACAGCTGTTTAGATACCTCCTGGATCTCTCAATCTTCCACCGTCTTCTCTGCCTAAAGTTAGCTACCCTATACCCCAACTTCAGAGAATAATTACCATCTCTACTTATCATCCAAAGACACTTATCTGCCAAATTTGATCCAGCAGTATTAAAAGAGTTAATGAGAGCTTTATCTTCATCACTGAATCAATCTTTCATTGCTTCAAAGCACCAAGAATTATTCCTGATTAAGCTCTTCACAGTCAAACTCTCTTTTTCTTCATCCAAATCTCTGGAAGCCAATGCATACCCATTAGCATCAGGAATCCAATTGTCAACAAAAACTCTGATCCTCTCTCCAGTCCCTACTCTCCAACAAAGATCTTTTTTTTAATTAAATCTCTTCCTTCTAAAATGTTAGACAACCTGAAGAGTATCTCTAACCTTGCTTTGCTTGCGAAAAGTCACTATCCGAAAAATACAAACCCTTTAAAATCCTACACCATAAAGCATCTGTATTTTGAACCAACCTCCATGTAGTATTAGCAAGGAGAGCTTTGTTAAACAACTCTAGATTCCTAAAACCCATTCCACCTTCACTTTTTGAAAGGCTTAGCGAACTCCAAGATTTCTAGTGTATTCTACCTTCTTGTTCCCTCTGACCCTACCAGAACCTTGACATCATGCTATCCAATTCAACACAAACCTTCTTTGAAAATCTGAAACAGGAGATAGGAAACACAGGTACTGTGCTTGCTACTACCTTAATCATCACTTCCCTCCCAGAAAACATCAACAACTTTTGTTTCTGTCTCTGTAATTTCAAACTAAACTTGTTTTTAACAAACAAAAGAGCCTCTGACTTTGACTTTCCCACATCATTGGCATTCCCAGATATTTACTAGGACTATCACTAGTTGCTTTAAAGATCCAAACCTCATATACTTTCCTCTTAAAATCCTCGCTTGTGTTCTTTGAGAAAAACAAACAGGACTTATCAAAATTGATTGCTAGTCCTGAAGCCTTACAATAGCAATCTAATATGCCTTTCAACATTTTACAATTCTGCTTTCTTGCATTCACAAAAAATAAAGCATCACCATCAAAAAAAGTAGTGAGACACCATTGGACACTTTCTTGTGAAGAAAAATCCATTAGTCACCTTAAGTCCACTTCAAAATAAACCGATTAATGTAATATAGTTCAAAATCTGGGTCGTATTCACTTTAGGGAGCCTTTAGAGAAATTCCTAAGTAGCTAAGTATGCAAAACTATAAAAATTGACTTGGAAAAGGATTGTTTTTTATTTTTTAACCAAGTATTTGGCAAAAAATTAAAATGCAAAAAGAGTAAAATATTTTTGGGTTTTTAGTTTCTAAAAATGGTAGGAGTGAAATGAAATATGAAAACTAACAAGCGATGACAATGAAATGGCAATCCTCTAGCACAATAGTTTAGACAATCATTACTTCAATTAATTTGGGAGTTAGCTAGCTTCAAAAGACTCCAAGAGCCACCCTTTAGACTTGAGTTAATGAGAATAATCAATACCAAGCCACCTTGAGTATTAAATTTCCAAGATTAAACTGATTAAGCAAAACTAGCAAGAGAGAATCAAAGACAGCAATTAGTACTTTTGATCCAATAACCACGCGACCTTGAATTATCACGACATATTCACAATAATTTCAATGAATAAACTTATTCCAGCTCTTAAATTTCAGAATTCAAACCTCACAGTCCCAAGCATTAATCCATCGATACCATACACGCACACATACACAAGCATGCGATTATTTTATGCCATTCTTATCTAAACACAAAATCGGTCATCTAAATTCAAGAACCCCTTTTTATGATAGTCAATATAATAGAGAAGAAACAAGAGATTCTCGGTCTCGGCAATCAAAAGTCAGAACAGAACAAACGCATGCACACCACAAAATTCCTACTTAAGCTTTATTCTACTCCTATAAAGCATCTCTTAAATCTGTCGATGTTTCCCCCTTCCCCTCAACAACAACTTACGGTCACTGTAACTCTCCAAGTAGTATTCTAACGCTGAGAAAGAGGGTAGGAGGAGCATTAGAAGGTTTACCTTGGTTGGATCCTAGCTTATATGCGTCGAATCTTCCTCTTTCCCTTTCTTTCTTCCTCCTTGTCTCTTCTGCCACCAAATCGCACCCTCTCTGCCCCTCCCTTTTCATGTTTGTGCGCGAGTGGAGTGAGGGCAAAGTGTGCTCTATATAGAGAAGAAGCAGAGATGTCATGGCAAAGGAAATTTTGGAATTTACCCACGAGTTGGGCTTCTAATTGGAATGTGCCCCACATAACTTTCAACCCATGGGTAATGAGTTAACTATTTCTTTTTCCCTTTTTTATTTGATATTTCCTTATTAAACAACTCTCAAAAATTAATCTGAACACATTATATGAACTTTTCTCCTCATTTAACTTTCTTAACTCATAAAATAGTTGTCCTAAAATTTTTAGGCTAAAAATCAACCTTTAACCATTTTTCTTGAATTGCTCAAGAAAATAACTCTTTAATTTTGGAAATTAGCTTTTAAATTATTTCTAACCTCTTTGGAAAATAAAATCTTCCATAAACTTTTTTATTTCCCAAAATGATCATCTATAACTTTTCCTTAATTATTCTTGTCTATTTTTAATAATTATTCCTTTCTTGATTTTCTTGCCCGAAAATAGGTTTTATGGAATAATTATTTTTCTGAGGCCTTAAATAATTCTTTAAGCCTCCTAAACATCTTAGTAATTGCTAGCTTTGAAATTAGGGATATTACACTCCACATAAAATTCCTCCTCCATTCTGCACGTCTCTTTAATTCTACCAATCTTTTCTTTCTTCATCTTTGTTTCCATTAGAAAGGTTATAGAAGGTTTGTGTTTAAAAAATTTCTTCCTTCAACTTCTTAACTGTCAAGGCTCTTTCCAGACCTTGATAGCTCCGTGCTAGGATTTTCATGGCCCCTTAGTGGCTGTTTTAGGCCAACCACTAAGATCTTAAGCACAATTCATCATACTTTGACTCAAAAGCTTCTCCACTGTCTCCGTTTCAATTAAACCAGGGCCTCCTTGACTCCTCCCTCCCCTTCTCCTGCCTCCCTTCTCATTTGGCGTTTAATCAAATTAATACTACCACAACCTCTTTTGTTTTTGATAGTTTGTTTGTTTTTCACAGATTCATTAGGATTACTCTCAAAACACAACTTTCTTCTTTTACTCGATTGCAATCCACTTCCTCCACTAATCCTCTCTTCAACTTTACCTTCTTCAAACTAGCAATAACCTCTGACATTGGAGAGGCATCTCCATCAACCACAATTGCTTTCAAAAGATCCCCCCTACTCTTCACTTCCACACTCCGTGCCTTTATATTATTAGAGTTACATTTCAGAACACTGCCAGTTATCTTTGCTTCCTTCAACTTCTCCAAATCAATCCTTCTTTTTGCCAACTCAACTTTTTAACTATTCCCCTTACATTCCTGTGGCCTCTCAGTCACATTTGAATTCATACTGCTCATATTTTCCTTTTCAACTAGTGAGTTCTCCTTTCTTTGTAAAGCTCCTATCACTTCACAATCCTTCTCCCCTACGAACTTCTCCAGAACATCCTTCCCTTTCCTCCTGACATCAATTTGAAATTCAGTAATTACAGGAGAATCTCTTCTTGCAAAAGCTTCATCATATTCCTCCCATCCTTCTCTTCAAACTCTAATAGCCTCATCTATATTTTTGGCAGTTTGCACACTCAACCAACTGCCAAATTTCCTCTCGCAGCTCAAGCCTTTCTCACTCAACAACACACAACTTCTAAATTCATGTCCAATTCTACCACATTTGAAACAAAAAATCTGTAAGCATTTATGCCTTGCTTTATTCTGTATAGGATCTTCATCTGGTTTAGACGTCCACATTCTAGTAACCAATGTCTCTTCAGATCTACCAGACTCTGACTCATAAGAATATACGAATGAATGAGTCATTCTTCCTTGTATCTTCTACCATCACAACATCACCAATCAGCGATATGAGAGTTACAGCATTCTCAATATCCAAAGCTCCCTGTGGTAAGCCATGGAACTGAATCCACAAAGGGCACTTCTCAAATTAACCTCGCTAATTACCATATCCTCTTCCCAAGGCTGAACATTAAGCAAATCACTTTTATCAACCATGGCCTTCCATTCAAAATACGCAGATAATCCGATCGATGTTTGAATTCAAATATGAACACGTGCTTATCAACATCCAGTATCTCTATATCCTCATTCTTGATCAGATTCCAGCCCTTTCTGATCATATGAATCGTTGTGATTCTATTCAAACTCTTCTCAGTCGCCAATTTCCCTACCAATGCACCTCCATTAATCTTCCTTTGCTCTTTTATCGTCCATATCAATTTCACCTCCATCTCACCATCCTTCTGACACAAACCACTCGTGCTTCCTTCCACTATTGCAAAAACTCACACATCCACTAAAAACTCCTTAAGCCTGCACCAGGCCCTCAAAAATTTACGTCACAACAATGCGCCATAACATAGTCATTCTTCGAAACTCCGTCGGAGTGGGTGGTGGAGCAAAATTCCCTCAGAAATACAAGATCAATGATAAACAGCCGTAATTAACTCTCACAGAGGAGAGAGAAAAGCTCTTACGTGGGACAGGGAATTTTGTCCTTTTTAAACCAAATTTAAACTCAAACTTTTTTGAGCTGAAAATTTAAACTCAAACTAAAAAACGAAAACACAAGATGTTTTTAATAGTCAGTCAAGTAATTGAATCTAATAGTTTGAATTTAGTTGGATTTAAAGAGAAACTGTTCCACGGTCAATTATTTGTGAAATTAAGTAAAGCTTTGACAATAAAATTTTTCCATCTAAAGCTTTTACAATAAAATTTTTCCATATAATAAGTTTTGAATAATTATTAAATATGAAATTAGAAAAATACGCAAAATCAACCGAATGGAGAAAGTATGCAACCTGCATATGTGTGCGTGCATGGGTGCGCCCAAAATCACCATGTGCACTTGTTCTCTCTTTTATTCCAGAGTAAATTCTTTATCTCTTTAACTTCTATTTATATTTTTTATTTTTAAGTTCATTAATTCCAAATTAAATATTTATTGAACAATTACAGTATAAAAATTTTTATTTCTTAAAAAATTATACAAGTCATTTTCACAGTAATTTTAATTATGATTTTCTTAATTTTTCTTATTTCAAAATTTTCACAAAGTTTTAAATAAATAAAAAAATTATTTCCGTATTTTATGCTTTTGGGTTGAAATGAATATTTCTTGAAATATTTTAATATATTTAATGTAAGTCTGAGAATTATTCTAAACATACCATTGTTAATAATATTTGACAGTTTTTGTATAATATGGTAAAATTAATGTTAAAGTAAACACAAATTTGGAGCCTGTGTGTGAGCACGTGCACGCATATGCATAACAATCTATCATTTAATTAGAATTAAAATTATATTGATACTTTTAAAAAAATCACAGCATGAGAATTAAAAATTTTCATTAAAAAAATATTTAAATAAGTATAAAAATCAATTAAAATTATAATATAAAAATTAAATAAAAATTTAAATATAACTCAAACTGATGAACAATGATACGAGATATTATTTTCAATTGTTCAACAAGTAAATCTCTTCATTTAAATTCATTTATGTTTAATTGGGCAAAAAATTCGTTTTTGTTTAAAGAAGAATTATTCTACACGTTGTGAAATTAAATAAATATTTTCAAATTAGCTCTGTTGAGTAAAGTATAAACAATTTTTTTTAATTTAACTGCACCAACACATATTCTTAGGGAGATAAATTAGTGAAAAAGCAGATTAAAATGATATTGTTATAATCATGATATTGTTATGTCTTACTTTTACTTTTTTAATCATTTTCTTGAATAGAATAAATTTAAAATGACATTTGTTGTTGACAAAATATAATATTTAAGTATTCTGTTCCATATGATTTATACTCTGTTCATTGAAAAGCTAAATACCATATATATGAGCCGCACATGTTACGCACACGCACTAGCATGTTCTACTGCTCCCCTCCTGCACCGTAATTAGAGAATACATCCGTTTACTGTTTAATTTTCTTTTGCAAGTTTTTTTGAACTGTTTCTTTTCTATTTCGTAAATTCATTAATGTCCTATCAAATCATTATTGAATTATATGGAAGTCATGATTTCCATCAATTTTTTACGACCAGATTTTGTACATAAAGCACAGGCTAACTCGATAAACCTAATGTGTCAAGCTGGACTCTATATCATTGGAAAGGACCTACTCCTTTTAATATATTCAACATTTCAACATTCACCTATATCATTCAACATATTTTACCATGTTATCCGCAAACACTATTACCTGTTTCGGTTTCTTTTTACAGATCTTTTTTTTTGGCAGGTTTTATACCCAAGGACATAGGCGGTCTTGTTAAACTTGAAATCATAGATTTGGGATCAAATTATTTGAGTGGACCTATTCCTTTCAGTATATTCACCATTTCAACATTGAAATACTTAAGCCTTGGCAGTAATTCCCTCTCTAGCCTTCTCCCATCATATTTAGGGATTGGCCTTCCCAACTTGGAGAATTTACTACTGAATGATAATGAGATAATTGGACAAATTCCAAACAGCATATCAAATGCTTCTAAGCTCATTGAGTTAAATTTGTCATTGAATAAATTAAATGGATCTATACCCAATGTCATTGGAAATTTAAAAAACTTGTTCGACTTAGCTTTGGATGGGAATGATTTGACTGGGTTGATTCCAGACAGAGTTAGCAACTTACATAAACTTCAACGTTTAAGTCTCAGCAACAACAGATTGCAGGGTTCCATCATAAATGAACTTTGCCAACTCAAAAGTCTAAGTGAGTTGTATCTTGCCAACAACATGTTTTCGGGAGCATTACCAGGATGTCTCAGGAATACTTCTTTGCGGAAGTTGAATTTTAGCTCCAACAAATTGATGTCTCATATACCTTTTTCTTTCTGGAGTCTCAAAGATATCTTAGTTTTAGACATATCGTCCAATGCATTGAGTGGATCAATATCGCCAGAGTTATCAAACTTTAGAGCAATTATACTGTTGAACTTGTCAAGAAACCAGATTTCAGGAAGCATCCCTACAACTATGGGTGGCTTGCAAACCTTGATAACTCTATCTTTGGCTAACAACAAATTACAAGGGTCTATTCCTCAATCATTTAGTAGCATGATAAGCATAGAGTCCATGGACCTTTCCCATAATTATTTATCTGGTGTGATTCCAAAGTCCTTAGAGTCATTACTCAATCTTAAATACATTAATCTTTCTTACAATTTGTTGGATGGAGAAATTCCAAATGGTGGTCCTTTTCAAAATTTTACTGCTCAATCTTTTATGATGAATAAAAATCTTTGTGGGAAATCCCAACTACAAGTCCAACCATGTAGGAGAGGAAACAAACACAAATCAAACAAAGTGATGCTGGTGATAAAATGCTCAGTGCCTATCATGGTTGTCATTTTGGTCGTTACAAGCATTATCTTTCTAAAGCATAACAGAGACGATGCTGACTATGCAACCAAAAGGGATTTAACCAATTTGGATGCACCAACTAGGATATCCTATTATGAGCTTTTACAGGGAACAAATAGATTTGATGAAAGTAATCTTCTTGGCTCTGGAAGTTTTGGATCAGTATATAAAGCAATTCTTCCAAATGAAAAGATAGTTGCTGTCAAAGTATTTAACATAGACATGGAAGAAGCATTGAGAAGTTTTGATATTGAATGTGCAGCTATGTGCAATTTACGCCACCGTAATCTCATTAAGATCATTAGTTGTTGCTCGAATGATGATTTCAAGTCTCTAATAATGGAATTCATGTCAACTGGAAGCCTTGATAGATGGTTGTACTCTCATAACTACTGTTTAGATATCCTACAAAGGTTGAATATAATGGTTGATGTGGCAACTGCATTAGAGTATCTTCATCATGGTATTTCTACTCCAATTGTTCATTGTGACATAAAACCAAGTAATGTTTTGTTGGATGAAGATATGGTGGCTCATCTTAGTGATTTTGGTATGGCTAAACTATTAGGTGAAGGACAATTGGAAACTCGTACAAAAACATTAGCTACAGTTGGCTATATGGCACCAGGTAATAATTTAATAATAATATCTTAGTTCAATTATGTCTGTTTTTTATTATTCTATGTGAAATTTTATATTATACAATGATTGACATAAATTTTCCATTCCTATATGCAAAAATTTGTATTAGCTATACAAAAGTAAAGTTTAACGAAAAACCATATATTCTCTTTTGACATATAGAGTATGGATCAAAAGGAGTGGTTTCTTTCAAAGGAGATGTGTATAGCTATGGTATCATGCTAATGGAGATATTTACAAGGAAGAAGCCAACCGATGAAATGTTTGAGGAAGATCTTGGTTTGAAAGATTGGGTTAGCAAATCAACACCACATTCAATCATCAATATTCTAGATGTCAATTTGCTACCAAAAGGGAATTCAAATATCAACAATATATTAGCACATATATCATCAATTTTTGAGTTGGCATTAAGTTGTTGCACTGAATTACCTGAAGCACGAATTATGATGACTGATGTTGTCGTCTCATTGAAAAAGATAAGGTCATATTTATGTAAGATGTTAGAGATGCAACACTAGTTAAATAATCTTTATATGGAAGTTTTAGTCATTGTTTCTTTGTAAGATAAATTACATAGTTTATAAGGTTTTATGTTTTCTGTAGGGAGTGAGCAAATGTGAACATTATATTTTGAATGTTTTTGGATTTCAGGGAGTCTAGATTATTGGAATAACAACTTTTTGAAGAAGGGTTCCCTCTTCTTCCATAGAAATGGTTATTGGGCTTCTCTTTTATTTTTATTTTTCATTCATGCAAGCATTCAAAACTTGAGAAATGAAGAAAGCATTAACATCAATTAAACATGGAGATATTAAATGAAGAAAAGATGTTGAAATGAAAATACCGATGGGAATGAGTCTCAATTTGCTGCTCTAATTAGCATCACTTACAGATAGATAGCTTAGGGAGCTTTTGAGGGATGTTTTACCCCCCCCCCCCCAAAACAATCTTCCTTATCCGTCAAGCTTAAGAATGGAGCAAGAGTTTGTGTGTGGAATATTAATTTGTATATTATACCTATTCTATCTAAAAATTTTATTAGTATTTATTCTAGTTAGATGTATGATAGTCATACTTGTAGCGTTTAAAGGATTAATCACGACTATGTAAGCATCTAGTGAGTCTATCTGAGTCATTTAATTTAGCTATTTTTGGCGTAAGGAACAAGTCTAATAATTTGCAGCGCAATTTATTTCAACAGTTTCTTGGTAGATATATGTCACACATAGGGCTACTCCCAAAGATTTTATTATCATCAAAATAAGGCAGTCAGGTTTATTTGGAAGGGCCCTTGAGCCCCTCCCGCATAGTACTCCATCATTCTTAATTTAGCTAAAGATTAATAATCATTCTTTTCGGTAACATCCAATTAATTATGTTATTTTGTCTTGTTAAATTCGTTTCGTATATCTAATACTAATGCGTGTTCTTTTTCATTCTGACATTCTTATACCCCTCACAAAAAATTGAAACTTACAATTTTACATTTAAAAAGGTTTCGAAGCAGGTGTTTAGTACCACGAGACCCAACTCTTTGCGTTTTATTTTATGATAAGAAAATAAAGATCACAAGCATAATTCTTTTTCTTTGACAACCACCAACAATACAACTGAAAATTGAACATGGTCAATGACCTAAAATCAACCAATCATGTACTTACAACTGAAAATTGTTCAATTTTTCGAAAATTGGGAAATCGTTACCGTTTATAGGGATGTGTTTTCCTTTACCCATTAATTTGATATGTTGATGCTTATAGAGTAAGTCGATGATTATATTATCTAAGCAATGAAAAGTAAGCCTGAGTCTAAGCAAAAATGAAATAGGTTAAAAAAACTTTAATTTACGAATTTTAGAAAATCATCAAAAATTTTAAAAAGTATACTCACTTAAACGTTTAATTATAAATTACATAACGAGAGATAAGATAACATTGGTTGAAGATTTAACCTTTTAATAGGACGTGTTCTAATTTCAAAGTAGTATTATAAGCAGCACTTTTAATATTCCTTGTTCCTTCCTAGTTACACAATAAGAGGTAAGATATCACTGGCATGAATATGTTATAGTATGACATCTTGACATTCAAAAAATACTTTATTCCCTGTATTTTATCGTTTTAAATGTCAGGACTTAAATTTAAA